TAAGTATTAATTCTGTATTAACAATAATTCTGTATCTATTCAATATAATAATTAAGCATTAGTTCTGTAGCAATGGCCATTCTGTATCTATTCAATATATTAATTAAGTATTAATTCTGTATCAACAATAATTCCATATCTATTTAATATATTTATTCAGTATTAATTTATTATAACCTTATTATTCTGTATATATAGATTATATTCTGTATATTATCTGTACTTTTCTTTATTATTTTAGTACATATTTTTTCATAGAGTTAGGGTTAGGGCTTAGTTTAGGATTAGGTAAAATTGTGTAATAATCATTTTTTGTTAGTTACACAACAGGGTTACTCTAGTAAAATTTTGAGATATAGCTAGGGTACACTATGGTGCATGATGTACCATTTTTTAAAATCTATAAAAAAATATATAAAAAAATTAAATAAAATAACAAAATAAAATAATTAAAAATAGGGTTTTAAAAATTTATTGCACCTGCAATATTTGCACTCCTAAATCATGTGATATTTTATCTTTTTATATTGTAGTATAAAATATACTATATTTAGAAATTACTTTATATGCATATACTGTATATAAATAACAATCGAATAATAATATAAAGTACTAAAATGCTATGCTTAAAAGGTAATAAAAAAGATTTGCTAAAATGTTTAAAGAGTGCTAAAAAGACAATTTTGTATACAGTATAATAACCTACCAGCTTTAGCGATCTTTCTTTACTTGGTTAGTATCATTCGCACAAGAAATATTTAATAGGCACATTTGAAGTAACGATATTATCTAGAATATCTCAGATATATACAGTTTATTTATCATATATATGTATTTATATACAAGATATTCTGGATAACATCGCTACCTACTAGCTTTAGCAATCTTTCTTTACTTGGTTAATATCACTCGCGCAAGAAATATTTAATAGGCACATTTGAAGTAACGATGTTATCTAGAATATCTCAAATATGTATAGTTTATTTATTATATATATATATATACATGCAAAGATATTCTGAATAATATTGCTAATTTGGAATAAATTGAATATTATGTACTATTTAGCAGTAAACCCTAAATCAATATCATTATGCAATAAATTTGAATTCTGCTAAATATATACATATATACTAACACTGGCTATATAAAACTACAGTATTCAAAGCTGCTGATCCTTAGCTTTTTTAGAGCATGTTGCAATATTGTAACCTATCTCCTTGCAGTAACTACAATAATTCTGTGTACATCATTCTTGGAAATCTAAAAAAAGTCATTACTAGAGGTGACCGGAACTATCTAGCCATCATAATAATCAACAAAGTCAACGTCCAACAAATAAATTATCGCTTGATGGTAAAAAAAAGTGTTTGGAAGAGTATTTTCTTTATCTGAATCTTCTTCTTCTAAATTTTCTACTTGTTGACTTATAATTTCTTTTTCATATACACTAGCTAAATATGTTTTAACTATCTCGACAAACTCATAATCCTGGTGTAAAAGGCATTTATTCATTGCAGTACGAACTAAGCCCTATATTTCACTATAAAACAACTGTTTATTTATAAAGCTTGCATTCTGGGTAAGTTGCCCATTATTATTATTAAACGGCTGGAGCCATTCAAAATTCTGATTATGTTCTATCTTATAGTCTATACTGTATTCAAAATTCTGATTATGATCTATTTCCCAGTCTATACTAGAAACTACACTATTATTCAAGAAACATTGTCCGTAATAATCAGGTTCTGTTATTATATTATTTTGATACATTTTAGGAATCCACCTCATATTAATGAGCCTCATGTTGAATAATGCTACCTTAGTAATATTTAGAAGGTAAAAGTAATATCTACAAACTAGTCCTTGTTTTTGTTGTAGCAAACAAGTGCAACTATATGATTCATCTATAAGACAAAAGACTATATGATTTATATTTTGCCTTGTAACTCTAGAAAATTTCTACACCTCTTTAATTTTAGTACAATCCAATCACTGAAGAAGAAATTGAATATATAAAAATACACTATCTGGTTCATCTTCAAAATTATCACTATCAGACAGCTTATTTATAGACATGTTTTGAATTTTCTCAATATTAGAACGAAATAAAATATAGAATACGCTCTCCTTCTTGACTAATCAAAAATTTTATAACATTTGGACGCAAGTAATAACTGATAAGTAATTCAATTTTTGGAAAAATTGTTATAGTATTAACCATTAAATTGACACCTCTAGTTAAATCTTTATATTGCTTCTGTTTTATAGTATCTTTAGCACTGTCTATTAGAACTTTTCTAAGTTCATAAAGAGATGTGTTGCTACTTTCAATTATGTGTTTCAGGCAGGCATTTTGACTTTCTACAAATGATGTAAATTCAATACTAAGAGTAAATAATATAGTTATAAATCTACAAGCCTATGATTTGCATCTATTATACAAATGATTTTGAAGATATGTACATGCAGTTGGGTAATTGGTTGTTATTTCTTCCCAATAATGGTAAAAAACTTCAGGCATATCAGCATTATGACATTTTCAAAAAGTGGAATAAAAATCATTAAATGATTCACTAAGTTTTCCACAAAGCGTTTTTTTAATATTTTCTTTAAGGTGCCAAATACAAAAAATATAATGAATCATAGGATATTCAGTCACTATTGCACTCTCTATCGAAGGTCTCCATTAGTAACAAATACATTGGGCATCTCTCCTCGTGTTGTTTTTTTTGTCATATATAAGACCTATTGATATGACTCTGTTGTTTTATTACTAAATAAAGCCTGAGCCACTACTTTTGATTTCATATTATCATCAATAATTACAAAGAGTAATAGTGGCATATAGTATCGATTCATTCTAGCAGTATTATTATAACCAACTGCATTACCAAACTCATGCTACATAATAATTTGCTCTGGACTTATCCAAAAAATTCTGATAAGAGTATTTGTTTTCAGTTCTCACGTTACTTCAACAAACCACCTTGGATATTCACTTTTTTTAGATTGCAACTCTTCATACAATCGTGCTGCGTCAGTTTTATTATGATTTGCTGATAGTCTATGCTGCTAAATTTCTGTATAAAGGTCCTTTGTATAAACCAGCTGAAGGGAGTATTTTTTTTAAAAAAATCTAATAATTGTCGCATTAAAATGACATTTGGTTACATAAAACTCAATATTTTTCTTCATCTCATTTGTAAAAGTTTTTAGCCTTTCAAACTGCAGTGCCTCAGGACACATTTCATGGTTATACTCATTTATATATATTGTAACAAAAATACATGAAGTCAGATTATTTTTCATAGGCCTTGAGAGGTTTATATGCCATTAGTAGGGCGAAAAAGGGAGTTCTGGGACACTTTTTTGGTACATTTTATTCTTTTTGCTTTTTAGATCACTCAAGAAGCCTATATTCTATAAAAAATTTTTACTACCTATATAAAAACCTGGGTACCAAAAATTATATAGCTAGAACTCACTATTTTTATATTTTATAATCAAATCAGAT